AAAGAATGATGTTAAAATATTTATTACTTTTTTTAAAAATAAGTGTAAAGAGGAGGATGTGCGGAAAAATGTTCATTTTTAGCAATTAGAAAATATGTAAAAAAGCATAGAAAAATTCTTAAAAGTGCAAAAAGAATGATTGATTACTGTTCAAAATTAGTTGATTAATTATTATTTTTACATTTTTATCACATGAGAAAGTATTAGTTTTGGTCGAAAATTGACTTTCGCTAATTTCATGAAATCTCGACGTTTTGGGGTACCCTGAGTCCGAAAAACATGGTCTAGAAAAAGTGTCTGTATGTCTGTCTTCGTGTCTGTCTGTTGACACAATGGTGTTTCTACGATAACTTTTGAAAAACTTATTGTGTCAACTTGCAACTTTGCATGTACAAATTTAGTGTTAAAATACAGATCGAGTTCGTTAGCCAGCCATCTTCGCCAATGACTACAGTACTTTCAAAAGTTTAAAAATTCAATTTTTTTAAATTTTAGAATTTTTAACTTTTTAGGGTTCCGTACCCGGTAGGAACCCTATTAAAACGGTTACGGAAAGTGACCATGTACCCTCCCTAGCGCTCACAGTTTTTCATCTAGAGAGCTAAAAAGTGGTACACGTACACTATTGACTAATGGGTTTTCTCGCCAGTAGAGAGGGAAACGGTAGAAAACTTCTCCTGAGTACAACCGGTTTATCGACAGTCGAGTTCTAATGGTGTGTACCGGACAATAATCGGACTCAATACAATAACCTCCCGCTCAGATTATCTTACGTACCGGAAAAATACCAAGCCAAATGGGCGCGAACCAAGTACCCTTGGTTCTAAAACGTCCGCCAAGCGAGGCATCTATCCGACTATGCCAATCTGTCGGTTATTTTGGTGTTATATATTATAGAGTTAATTAATTCATAAATAAAGTCATATTTTTTAAATAGTTTTAACGTTATAGCTAGTATGAAAACCTTAGGTGTCCGGTACTAGGGGACTTCCCCCTTTTGCTTAATTTAATATTATTCTTTTTAATTTTTTTATGTATACCATTTTGGGTAGTTTTTTGTTTTTAATAAATAAAAGTAATAAAGAAATAAATACTTATTAGTTCATAAAGCTCTTTATATGAAGCACCTAAAAACTAAGGTTATTTTTTAATTTTGCAATTAATTAAGGTGGGCAAAAAATCTTGAAGATATTGTATGATTTTATCAATTTCAGCAACAGTTTAGTCAAATAATTGTTATTTACAAATCACGTACACAAAGAACTTGATAGTAGTATTTTAAAAATATCGTGGCATCTTCAGCAAACCATGTTTCTGCGAAGAAAGTTAGTAATTAAAAATAATTTCACATTTATTATCAGCAGGACCAAAAATTAATATTTAAGTCCACTTAATCTCGCAATCATCAGCAAACAAAATATGTGATGAGAATGTAAACCTTAAAGTCGTAACTTTAGTAACTTTAAGAAAAAAAATAGGTTTCATGAAACGTATGATAGGAAACAAGAAAAAGAACGCAAATAATGGATAACGGCCGCGAGAGAAGCGAGCTATTTGTGCGCGAAGCGCGCATCAATCCTCGGAGTGCGAAGCGCGACGACCAACGTAGGTGCGCTGAAACTTGCGAGCTTCCGCGCGAAGCGGGAATAAGAATGTGTCCGCCCGAAGGGCGGGCAGATTTTTTAATTATTAAACTAGTGAAAAAATTAAAATAATACATAAAATATATTTTTAAAGTAGGTCCGTCACATAACCTAATTTTGCCGTTTTAATTAATTAATAACAAGAAAGTGGAATTATTAAATTAAATAAAAACTCACTAAACATAAAGTTTTTTTATGAACTTTCAGAATTTCTTATCACTTTCTTAATTTTTTCTTTAAATATACAAGAAATATTAAGTTAAAAGTACGAAAGTTCTGAATTGTTGCGTACTTTGCCAGTATGTGGATAGCAGTTGAGCCCCTGGATTCTATAACAGCCGCTGCACGCGGTCTGGAAGGGATAATACCAGTCAGGTAGCACTAAACGGCCCAGAGAGCGCACTGCTACCTGACTGATACTATCCCTTCGAAACCGCGCGCAGCGGCAGTTAAGGAATCCAGGGGCCCAATTATTGATAGCTATCACAGCTAATAATTACTTCTCACAGATAATTTTTATGATGTGAAAGCTAATTGTTATCTGCTACAGATAAAAATTAGCTATACATATAAAAACCAACCTAAAATAAAATAATTTAACCTACAAAATTTTGCAATTTTTGAAACTTTATATCTCTTGAAATAGATTCGGGACCAAAACTAAAATTTCGGTGTGACTTAGAAGTTGTGATAGTGACAACTTTTTTTATTTATTTCCAATAAAGTTAACATTTTTACACTTTCTTTACAAAAACGTAAATTAGAGTGTCAAAGTTTGCACCAAAACCATATTTAACTATAAATATTAAAAAACAATTTTTAAAATAATAAAATAAAATGACCAATAAAATAGTGCTTTCGATGCGTCGCAAAAAATAAAATTTTCCCTTTCCATTTGAGACCGTCATATCGCTGACTGGGACTTTCTCATCGTCCGGTCCGAGCTGTGGCGTTGATATAGTCAAACAGTTAAGAGAGGTAACACCACTTTAGAGGCAGAGAAAGAGACCAATTTTTAAAGATTTGTTTTAGGAAAATGAGAACAAGAATATGATTTCTCTTTGAAGGGTTTGTTAAATACATATTGAAGTGTAGAAAAAAAATTTTATTTAAAATTTTATAACAAAATGGCGGCGATAAATTTCATAATCAAAATTCACTATTTTTTTATGATAAAGACCGGACGGACAATTTTTTAAAAAATTTAAAACCTGGCACAGAAAACAAAGAAATTACATAATCTATATAATATAAACTTTAGAAGTTAGATATGGGATTTTTTTATATTAATTTTTGTAAAATTGGCACACTTTTTGAGTAAATTAATCGATTTTTTGCCAAAAAATAAACAGTAAATTGTTTATAAAAAATATAGTTTACATCCTAATTAAATAATCCAAATGCACTTCCAAAGTTAATATTATAAGGTTATGATAGTATAAGTTATATTAGTCCGAGGTACACACGACATTTTATACAAACCGAAATATGCTCGTTTTGCATAAAATTTCTTTGTTTTTTGATCCGCAGTACTTAAACTTTTCAAAAAACCTTTCCATCCGTAAAAAATAGTCGAGTTTCGGAATGAAATTTACCGCCACTATTTTGTTATAGATAGATTATAGAAATAAAAAAAAATTTCCACACTTCAATATGTAGGGTGTTCTAAGGTGATGTGCAACACCGCCGATTTCTGATCTACAGTTCGATATTGAACAGAACCAAGTATTGACATTTGTTTTTGTTCTCAGTAACTTGTTTTTGATATATAACTCACGAGACAGCTCGCAGCGAGGTTCGTTGTACGTAAGTTGAGTTAGATTTCTCGAGCAGGAAATATTTTGCATGCTTTACATTTCTAGTCGTTACGTGAAGGGTTTTAATTTATTTTATAGATAAGAATGTGTTTATTGTTGGTTTTTTAAGTGTTTTTAAATATCTGTTTATATTTTGTGATTCCATTGCATTGTATTGCGTACAAATCATTTTTCACAAAATATCATATTTGCGGTGATGTGCAACACTTTTTTCTTTTTTATACTTTACGTGCAATAACTGTGATTCACATGATGAATAAAAAGTTCTGAGTTATTTTCCTTTAGACTGAATCCATTTCAAATCAGGCAGGTCGACTAACTTCAAGTTATAAATTTAGCTGGTTCTAAAATATGTCATTGTACATGAAAAATATAGAGACACGTACTTTTTTATTTTTCAAAAAAGATAAAAACGAAGTTACGCACATTTGAACTTTGAGTGGTAAAACTCGAATGAACAGTGAAAAAAAATTGTTTTGCTTGGCATTTTTTTCTTTTGAGTATAATTTAATTTTCTTTCTTGGGTCTTGTAGATGGTCTTGTCCTCTTCAAAATCCAGTTTTAAATTTAAAAAATATTTAAAATTATAAAAATAGGGGATGATTTTCTGAAAATAAATAAGATCAATTTTCTTAAAAACACCACCTTTGTTGATATCATATTTTTACTACAAATTCTTAAAATAATTATGAACATTTCCTATAAATTTCAAGCGAGCTAAACCATTCTGGAAATCAGGAGAATTTATTTTTGAAATATTTATTTTCACAAATTTTCAACCTTCACGTCAACAATGTTATAACGATTCATTTGTTTTTAAAAATGCAAGATCTGTTGAATAGAAAGATTTCACAGAGGTATAATACTCTTATTAGTAATTTACCTAGAAAAAAGAATATCAACAAAAACAATTTTTCTTCATACCCCGGTCGAAAGTACGTACTTCCCGCTTAGACTTCGCAGCAGAAAGTCAAACATTTACGCTTTGGTGAATGCACAGGCCTGCCCTCTATCGTACGGGGAGCAAAAGTTTCTTAAAACAATACTCGGTTGATAACTCGTGACTTTAATTCGTTTCACGAATAAAGCGCTACCGGTGATTTTTGACACATAACCTCAAAGTTGATGAAATTCGTTTGTTCGTTCTCTCAATGTGCATTTAAATTTAAATATTAAATTATAATGAACCAGTCATTTTCATCAGATGATTCCAGTGATGAAGAGGAAGTGCTAAGAAATTTTGATAATGAAGCACAATTAATTATTAAAAAGGACTCTTTGCCGAAAAAATCTGGCGACAGGTACGTGCTGGTCTATGACACATATCAAAAGTGGAAAAATGAACACAAAGGTTCTGTGTCCAACTCTGAAGAAAGTAACTTAATTGTTTATTTTAAACAATTAAGTGAAAAAGTGAGACCGAATACCTTAGGGAGTGTTTGGTCCATGTTAAGAAAAACTTAAAATACAAGACACAATCTGTACATAAATAAATTTCAAAATTTAAAGAGTCTTGTTAAACAAAATTCCAAAGGTTACAGACCAAAACAGTCGTTAGTTTTGAAATGGGCAGATATAATGAAGTTTATGAGTGCTGCGTCGGACTTCACATATTTAGCTGCAAAGGTTTTTATTTAAATAAAGTTTTGCATCTACTCTCATTAACTCTTCTATTAATAAATGTTTTTATATTCAAATTCATTTTAGGTTATCCTTGTTTTCAGAATTTGTGGTGCTTTAAGGTGTGCTGATCTTACTAATAGTAAGGTGCAAGATGTTGAAGATCTAGGAAACAAGTATATTGTTTCAATCAATGAGACAAAGAACGACGTACCTCGCCAATTCATCATCGGAGAACTTTTTTATGCGACCGTTAAGCAATACACTGCCTTGAGACGAAGTGATAATTTTACTGAGAGATTTTTTATTCAATTTCAAAAAGGAAAATGTCATCGTTATTGGTCGGAATAAAACAGGAGAAACACCTCAAGGTATAGCTAAATATTTAAATTTGACGGATCCGAAAAAATACACAGGACATTGTTTTCGACGCACTGCAGCTACTCTCGCATCTAACTCAGGTGCAAATGTCACATTGCTCAGGCAATTAGGAGGGTGGAAATCGACAGCTATAGCACAAGGTTAGTTATTTATTTTACTTCCTTAGAAATAATAAATTGAATAAATTAATAATAATAATAAATTAAATATAATTATATTGATTTATTTTGTGTAACAAATAATGTATTTATAAATAATTGATTTATTTAATAGGTTATGTGGAAAATTCGATGGAAAACAGAAAAAGAATTTTTGAAAGAATAACCCACAAAGCAGTATCGCAAGCTCAATCAAATCCAACGTCTAGTAAACACTGTTCGACTAAAGCAGTCATTGAGGATAAACAAAATCACACAAATCCAGCAGTTGATTGGAAGGATATGTTTGAAAATTTTGATGTAACTGATGAGGAATTAAATACAATTGATAAATTAAATAAGCCAAAAGTTCCTGAATCATCGGCACCTTATTTCACTACTGCGAACAAAAAGAAAATACACATTCCGCGCGATAGGCCGTCAAAATCAGCTGAGCATTTTACATCAAAACCACCACTTCGACTTTCTTTTCATACTTCACAAAATGAACCGCCGTCTAAAAAAATTAAAATTGCAGAAAGTGAAACAAGTAGACAGACATTACAATCTACAATGGATCATCAAGAAAAAAATATTAATTTGATTTCAGCTCCCAACAAAAATTCATTTGTTAAGTATGAAAATTGTGTTTTTCATGGAAATATAATAAACAATTTTTATTGTTCGGGAACCGATTGTAAAAAACAAGAAAAAAAATAAGATGTAATCTTCGCAATACATACTATTTAATTATGTTTTATGAACACTAATAATAAATAAAATTTGTTATAAAAATAAATACCGTCAACTGGGGCTATTTTGTGCACGCGAGTTTTTTAATGAAAAAAATTATTAAAATGAATTATTTTAATCTGCTATTTTGTAAAATGAAAGTTTGATTACATGACAATAGAGAGCACTAAATGTTATTATTTAATTCTTTGGCAATTAAGAGAAAAAAATTCCTAAAAACGGAAAATTTGTTTAAAAAATTTTGAAAGTTCGGAAAAATTATACCAGATCTTCTAGAGTTTTAATGTGTCTCATAAACTGTGTTAGATATTTGTTTTCAATTGTGTTGTGATGATACATACGTAATGCGCTAACTTTTTATTCATTATTTTAAGAGAAAAGTGGAAAAAACTGAAAAACCAGGATTCCATGGGGCTATTTTGTGCACTTAAAAAAATCAAATATTTTTCATAAATATTTTATTTAGTAAGTAAAGAAGATTCTGTTTATCATTTTTATACATTTTTGTCTTACTTTTCTGTCAAAAAACTGTAAATACGTTAATTAAAATCATTAAAACGATTAAAAGCTCTACCGGTGCACAACGTAACCTCAAAAATTGAACTTTAATTAATATTTATAAGTTTTTCAAATTAGTTTTAAAACTATTTTCTCGTTTCTCTTAAAATAACTTGAAAATCATATTAGATATTAAATTGTTATCTATTTAACCTTAAAAATATTTATTTCAAGTTTTTTAAAAATATCATTTAAAACAATTAAAAAAGCTCCTATTGAAATGATGTTTTAAAGTTATTTATAAGTGTTTAAACGATCATTTTATAATTATATTAGTATATTATTATAAAATATATATTAAAAAAGAAAAAAATTTTATTTACTATCTGCGTAATATACAATTTAAAGAAAGATTGTTAATTTTTAGTAAATCCAGATTTTAGCAAAATTTTAGTGCTTTATTTTACATTTTTTGTATAGTATATCTACAAAAAAAATTTTACTAGGTCATTCTTTTTTTAACTTACGATAGAAACGATAGAAACGATTAAAAAAATTGTTTACGCAACATTACAGAAAAGCAAAGTTCGATGCACAAAATAGCCCCATCCCGGGAGTTATTGTGTTCACGACTTTCAATGACTATAACTAAGACAAAAAAATTTTTTTCTTTGCAAAATTTATAGGAAACCTTCAGAAGGATGTCCACAACATATATCAAAAGTTGATTTTCTTTATTCTCTTAATTCTGAATTTAAATAAATCTTTGAATAAAAAAAAGCTATTTGGTGCACAAAATAGCCCCGGTTGACGGTATTAACTTATTTTTGAAACAATGCAATAATAATAATTGTCTTTTTATGTTTTGATTTTTGCCGGCCCCGACCAGCAGCACTCGCTTCGCTCGTGCAGCAAATGTCGGGCAGGCATTGAAAGTAAAAAAGAGTCATGATTGTAAGAGAGAGACAGAGAAAAAACCAGAGCTTCACGAGTGTCCGCTAGAGGCGTTGAAGCGGGGCCGAAAGTAAATAAAGATGGCCGGCTGTCAAGTGAAACGCAGTTGCAATTTTCTTAAAACATAAATTAACGAGCGTAGTTTCGACCAGATATAAAGAAAAATAGTATACATTACACGGGCGGAAATTTCGAAGCCCTTCACTGTGCGATGATGCCCTCGGCTTCGCCTCGGGCATCATTTCGCACAGTTCCGGAATTCGAACTTTCTGCCCTTATAATGTAATGTACTATTCCAAGGGAAAAAATTATAAGTATTCCATATATTCAAAATTTTGATGAAATTCTTTTTAATATTTTTAAAGAATATAACTTTAATTTAATTTTTACAAATTCTTTAAATTTTGGAAAAATTTTATTTTTCAAATTATCTAACAGAGAAATTTCAGAGGGTTGGATGCATATATAAAATTCAATGTAATAACCCACAAAGCACAGACATTTTCTGCAAGTTTTCTATGCAAATTTCGCAAGTTTGCATTGCAAGTTTGCAGCAAACTTGCATAAATATAAAAATGTCACCCACTTGGCAAGTTTGCACTGCAAGTTTGCAGCAAACTTGCGCCAAATAGCAAAAACTTAAATGTATGCGCAGTAGTTTACTATGACATCTAGCGCTGCGCACTATATTTTAGTCACCTTCCCTGCAGGGAAGGCATCGTTCATCAAAATATATGCAATTTGAAAAAAAAATTTTTTTTTAATTTTTTAGGTATTTTAGAAAGTTTGCTGCAAATTTTCCTCAAGTTTTCATTGCAAACTTGTCAAGAGGGTGACATTTTTATTTGTATGCAAGTTTGCTGCAAACTTGGATGCAAACTTGCGAACTTTGCATGAAAAACTTGCAGCAAACTTGCAGAAAAATACTGTGCTTTGTGAGAATTGTAATAGTTGTTATATCGGAGAAACTCTAAGACATCTTAAAACTAGAATAAAAGGGCATAAACGATATGTCACTCACAACCAAAATATTAATGCTTTAACTAATCAAACTTTTTATAATAAACAATCTTTTGATTTTGACAATACTAATATTTTACAAATTGAAATAAATAACTGGAAAAGGAAAAATTTAGAAATGTTCTATATTAAAAATAATACTAATTGTATTAATTATAGAACAGATATTGACAATTTAGATAAAATTTGTTGAAAGTCAGTTTTTGGATTTTAATATAATTTGTGTTTTAAGGTTTAGACCAAAGAATCCAAATTTTCCATTAAAAAACTTTGAAGACAATTTTTAGTTAGTCAACATATTTAGTCAACATCCTTTTCAAGAGAAAACATCCAAAAATATTACATTTAATTATAAGAATTATAAGTTATTAATTACAAAAAATATAAATTACAATAATTGAAAGAAATTTTTTTTCTATAACAGAAACGTGAGAATACATACGTGGTAAAGCATATTTAATTTGTTTTAGGAGTTGAGAAACAACTCCTCACGACCACCACTACCTACATATTTAAATAAATAAAATTAGAGTAAAAAGTTGTGATTAATCAATTCATAACCGTTTTTTTTATAAATTTAACTTAAAATTAATTAATTATAAATTAAATTCAAATTCAGCAAAACTATAAATATAGCGATATTTATTTAAGTTTTATGTTATCCCCACCGCTATTATAATTATATTGTAAACTTTATTATTGATGTTTTATAAAAATCATTTAATTTTTGTTACTTATATAAACTAAGATTTAATTATGTAAAAAAGGTGTATTATACCGTAAATAAACTAAACTAAACTAAACTAACTTGAATTTTATTTGATTCTAACCTCCAAAGCATCTATGAACCGGGCTTCACTATAAGATAACCGGGAATCTCTCATAAAGTCATAATCTATGGTAATTATCTGCTAACTTCACTCTGAGAGACTTTATAAAAAAACGATTATGAATTGATTATTCATAACTTTTTACTCTAATTTTATTTATTTAAATATGTAATGGTGGTGGTGAGGAGTTGTTTCTCAACTCCTAAAACAAATTAAACATGCTTTACCACGTATGTATTCTCACGTTTCTGTTATAGAAAGAAAATTTCTTTCAATTATTGTAATTTATATTTTTTGTAATTAATAACTTATAATTTTTATAATTAAATGTAATTTTTAAGAATGTTTTCTTTTGAAAAGGATGGTGGCTACCATCGAAACGTCGAGACAATTATATTAATAATAAATATGTTGACTAACTAAAAATTGTCTTCAAAATTTTTTAATAGAAAATTTGGATTCTTTGGCCTAAACCTCAAAACACAAATTTAGATAAAATATACTATAATCTAATTACATTTTTTAAAACATAATTTAAATAAGTCTAATAACATAGATATCAACTTTATCAACTATAGGGGAGACTAGGGTAAACCCGCTCATTTTTTTCAGATCGGTTTTATCTAGGAAATTATTCTCTAAATCCAAGTTAATTTATATCATTTGAAAGCTTATGATTTCTACTAAAAAAATAAAAAAGCGTTTTTGATTTATCTTTTTTAGTTTTACTTAGAGAAACTTTTTAATACACATATACCAAATTTCGAAATCACAATTTTCCAGGGTAAATCCGGTCACTTTATCTTTTCAAGACGGAACAGTTTTATTTTTTAAATATTAAAATTCGTCTTATTCCCGTCTTAAGTATGATTTATTTTTGATAAACTATGAGTTCTATAAACAATTCTATAAACAATAAGTTGGTTTAATAAATAATGAATATAGGTTTCATGAATTACAACTATTGATTTAAATAATGTTATATTTTATTAAGAGAAAGTGAAATGTAGTTCCAATTTTGGTTTTAACAAGTCATAAAAAGGTAAGAAGCTTTTATTTTCATAAATGAAAACTTATTATCCTATAAAATCAATCAAAACTAAAACAGTATTTATTTTTCTCTTTCAAATCATTAAATTTTTATTTAATCCTTTTTGAAATCTTATAAACTATGTCCGACGCTTGGATAATAATATGTTTATAAAATTATTCATCCCTTGATGAGGAATTTTAGTTTATATAGTTCGAAACTAGTTAGGATTTTAATAAATTTTATTAAAAAACAAACCGTATCTAGGCCTTCTCATTACTCAAAAAATTAATTAATATCTCTCTAAATTTGAATCAGCGAAAAGTCGCTGATTCACCAGCCCAGAGTATGCAGCTGATGAAACAGCGTATATACGCTGGAAAATCAGTGCATATACGCTGTTTCATCAGTGTATATACGCTATTTCATCAGCTGCATACTCTGGGCTGGTGAATCAGCGACTTTTCGCTGATTCAAATTTAGAGAGTACGGTAAAAAAAATACAAAAAAATATATCTTAGTAAGCTTTTTTTGCAGATTTCGATTAGTTTGCATTGAAAAAGCCTAAAATAAATAATTAAAGAGATTTTCATCAATATTTATGGATTACATACCTTAATTTTACTGGTGTTGCACATCACCCCAACTTTTTTGGAAA